CAACCTTACAAACAGGACATTTGCACAAAGACTGAAACCAGCAGACTGAGTGAACAGTGGGCTGAGAGGTTTCTGCACTATAAGGTTGGGAAATCTGCATTTAGCTGAGACTGAAGACGTCACTCGGACAAAACGTTTCTCTCAACTTTTGGGACCACAGGAAAGCTGCCCCCAAAACTCACAGCTTCTCTGGACGAGAGGCGCAGCAGCTGCCCTTCAGTCTGTGCCACCAAACATCAGCTGTGGCTGTCAGTGATTCCTATAACTGACTCAATTCTGATTCACAAGGTCTGATCTGATTTTGACTCAGTCAGAAATCCTATAATTATGATCTTTTATCACTACATATCCATATTTTATATCTATGTATGAATAAAATAAATAATATATAATAATAAATAATATAAATAATAATAATAAATAAATAAGAGAGAGGTTTGTTAGAGGCTCCACGTTCAGCTTTGGGCAGAATTTTAAAAGTTTAAATTTCTTTGGTCTCGAACAGCAGAAATCAGGTTTTCTTGTCAGAGAAATAAGAGCCTTGATGGGGTAGTTACACACTTTAAGCTGCTAGTTCACTTTTTGTTTCATTTTTAACAACAAACTCTGGTTTCGTAGCTTCGTGGCAGCTGTTAAACCAGAGCAAATACAGTAAATATTTAATGTTTAAATATTATCTGCCTGTTAAAAAATGTCAGAAATGTAATCACTGCTGTAGTTCATGCTGTTACGCACCTGTTGGAGGAATATGGCCAAACCCTTGCACAGAGAAAGTGTGCATCATTACTCTGAAACTTTGCTCTGCACCTGTTCTGGAGCTCCTGTCCAAAGAAGGTTGCTGCTCACCTGAGAGGTGGCAGTCATTGTTTTCCTGGGTGAGATCATCCAGGCGTCAATAAGGACCAACAGTCTGTTTAAGAGAAACTGCAGTCTGGGTGTGAGCCTGTCCTTGTCCGTGCAGGGACACGTCCGCTACGATGATCAGCCACTCTCCCAGCAGCAGCTACGACACATCGGTGGAGGCTCGAATCCAGAAGGAAGAGGAGGAGATTCTGATGGCCAACCGGCGCTGTCTGGACATGGAAAGCAGGTAAACTGCTCGTCTGCAAAGGGCTGTGTGATTATGTCGAGGTGTGCAAACAGATGGAGAGAGCGTGACGGGCTGCTTCTGTGCAGAGCTGTGTTTGTGGCGTGAAAGGGTATAGAAACGTGTTCACACCACAGCTGCTTTCATGGTAGATCGAAGCTGTCGTTATATTTATGCTTCACTTGTTTTTGTATCTTGTATTTCATCATTCTTTATTCTTTATTCTGCTGTTTTAACTTTCTCAGCTGTTTGTGTCTTTTAACCTCTTGACCTGCGTCCACATATGTGACGTCACATTTTG